TCCGTTTGTGATCATGTGATCTTCGGTTAGGAGATCTTGTGATGCTTTTTAAAGCAAAGTTGGGGTTGATTTCGAGTTCACATACAAACATAAATAGAATAGGCTAATTAAATTTTTCAATTTTAATGTAAGACAATTTTTTGTCAGTGATAGAAATATGATTTAAGATGGTAGTGTAAGCAAGTCTAGTTTAATAACATTTAATAGTAAATACGACAATTAGACAATATTATTTGAATAAAATAATAATAATAAATATTTATTTGCAACAACTGATGGAGTACTGAAAGCTGCACGCACGCGCAGCGTTGTCAAGGTAACATTTGGTCAGTCTTTCCCTTCGCCAAGGGAGTTCCAAATGCTTATACGAGACCGTAATACCCTGCACCCTTCAAAGAACGAGTAGGGCATAGGGATGCTCACTTCTGTTTGAATTTCGCCCCATGTCTCTTATATCACCGCGGATGCGCTCTCTCGTTTCATTCAAATGCAGCTTGCCGTCTTGCGTCTCAGTTTTTGATTGTATTGAAAATGAAATCAGAGGAATTTAGTATTAATACTACTATAATTTTGCTGTAGTGATCATATTGTCCTGACGATTGTTTTGTACACTGTTCATAAACAGGTAAGATTTCAAAACATTAATCTCAATTCAATATTTCATATCCCCGTATTTATATATTATTTTAGGTAAACAAAAAAAAAATCAGTGTAATAAGCAAACTATGAATATACAATACATTATCCCTTAAATGTCAACCTTATAGTTTAAACGTTCGTTTGTCTTGGCTCAAAGCCACTTGCTGAGAACTTTTCTTTGCGGAAGCTTTGCGTTAAACAAGTGAGATAACGAAATATTTCATCTCTAATCAATATTTTTTGTCCAATTATTTGCCCAGTTAGTTTTGGTATTGAGGTAAAAGTTACCTTGCATTCGCTATAACATTGGGTGGTGGTCACAAAGATGAACCACTAGGCCACGACTTCCACCCTTTTAGTGTGTACCAGGCTTAAAAGTCTATTTTAAAGCATACTCTCTAGGAACAGACCAGCAGCAATGACACACCCCTCCCCCGGAACATGTGCTCACACCTGTTAGCAACACACACACACACACACACTGGACTGTCACTTTGTTAGGCAAGTTATTTTATGCTGCACAAAACGAACAAAACAATGAAATGTGACACGCTGTCTCAGACTTGTACAATCTGACCCAGTTTTAGAACTGAACACACCTTGTTTGGGCAGGGCCTCTGCAAGTCTGCGCAGACTGGTCAGGCTGTCGGCGCCCAACTGGTTGAGGATAGAGGGCAGCATCTCTGTCAGCTGCTTGGTCTCTGCGTGGCCTGTGATG